CACGGAATAAAGCTTTGCGACTCCGCTTAACAGCAGTCGCATGATATTGTAGCCTATTGCAATTATTAGCACTTCGTTCGCGTAAGCTACAGAAATAGAACTGGTCTGAAACAGTTTTTTGTGAGATACCCTTTGAGTTCACTCAACTAAAACATTACCACGGAATAGAAACTATATTTGAAAAATGAGGACCAAATTTAGTAATTGTGGTAATCGGTATCGATATGTTTTTGAAAGGGGAAGTCTAATGTCCCGATCAAAATTAACACACGTATGAGACAATGGCATATGGCAAATGCGTGTTATATTTTAGAGGGTGACGTTGGGTGAGATTTCAATCAAACTTCCTCCACCCCAACGCCCTTCCCGCTTGCACCGCCTTGAGTGTCCCGATTCTTGTAGCGAATTCTTTCTGTGACTGCGGCCCACCAGCTGAGCTTAGTTTAAAAACTCTGACTTTCTCGGAAGGCTGGGAGGTCAACCTAAGCATTAGCGCTCTGGCTTGTCACACTGTAAGGGGGAAAAGGGGAAAGGAAAAAAAAGTGATGAGGTGCGATTAGGGAGGGAGGAAAAGTTAAGCGAGTATACAGTAAGCACGTAACATAGTTGTTTCGTAATAGTCTGGTCACCACTTTCGTGATCTTAAAGAACCTATAACTGCCTTACTACGTAACATGATGTTTTTGTTAGTCTGCCCTGTTCTGTGCTAATAAAGAATCTATAGCGCCCTAGTCGCAGAGGCTGATTTTGTGCGATCGCGCATTTCGAACCGAATACAATTTTCGCTTACTGTTGCCACACTGATACCTCCCAGCGTTGAAATAAGGGGCGTTGGCAGAATTTTTTAGGAGGCAAGAGACGCCATGGCGGAAAATGATTGCGGCGGGGGGGGGGGGGGGGGGGGGTTGTCCGGCTCGGTACGCTACGCCCTGACTACACTACTGGTAGAAGCGAGCGTGTTTTGTTGCGAAACGAAGGGGACGATCGCAAAATATACACGATGTTCCGGCTGTCCATCCAATGGATGAGATGTGGAGTGCGGTGAGTGAGTGCAACGCCGAGACGATTGCTGCAAACTGACATTGCTTCGCTTCATTCGAGACGAAAGGCGAAAAAATTATTTCACGATCCGTCTTCCGCAGACGCCTGTATCGATGTTCTGTATGAAACCACGAAGTCATTGGGCACTCTCGCATGACACGTCTCAACAAAGGCTTCATGACGCTACGCGAATGCGCTATTTTGACGTCAATGGGCGCGTTGGTATTTTGACGCCAATGAGCGCGTTGGTATTTTCAACGTGAGCAAGCTCGTTGTCTGCCAATCCGCTCTGTACAGGGATCCACTGCGATGTGACTGAGTGATTATTCCTCTGCGTTAAGTCGAATGCTTGTATGCTAATTTGCAATGTTGTCCCCATCCTGAGCAAGAGTCAACGCTGTGTGACTCAAAACTGCACCGTGCAAGTCTAGGTTCGTATTATACACGTACGATATTGAAGCATAGCTTTACTTAATGTAAGGACCAACTTCGGTAAGAACAATTAACGAAAATCGAATTATTTCATTGAAAGAGCAGGTAATTTTCTTATGAGAAGCCAGGATTGTTGCTGCACCGAGCACATCTCAACCACGTGCGCTTTTCATAATGGCCTCTGGGATCTGCTCCTGCAGCATGCTGTGCATAAGCTTAACCCAAGAACTACTCGAGGCCACGTGAACGCTGATTTACCAGTTCTACCACCAGACCGTCGAGCTATGGCTTAAGGTCTCCTCCAGATTTCTTTTCTTGACACTTTCATTTATCTATAAGCTCGAACTAAAGCATCATTGCGGACTGAGGCAGCGAGCTAAAAGAACGCTTTACACCGTGGCAGTTTACCTTCGGTTCTCGTCGTGCCCTAAGAGTTTTACAATTGAGTACCAAGACCTTATGTCCACTTCTTTCGCATTCTCTAAAGGTACATTTCAGCCACGTTCTATATATATATATATAGTGGAAGTAAACAGTGAAAATAGACATGTCGCGTAGTGCAGCCCGCACTGCGGAACGACTATCCCCGAAAACAAAGCTACCAGCCATCTCTGTGAATTTTTCTCTCTTCTCGCCTCGTTTACACACCCACCCAACATATCTTCGTATCTTTATGTCTCGCCTCTGCGCAGGCCACCTGACGGATCCCCAGAATTGATTACCGTGGCCACCCAACGCCGCTAGGTCGTTTCACATAGACCCAGTTTTCCACTTCCGTAGGGCTGTATTCTTTAGCGGGCGCTTGGTGTAATCTCACTAATGGATTCAAGTGCTCTTTTGCGTCGTTTATTTAACCCTAGCAACTAATCCAAATGAATCAAAAACAAACAAATCAAGGTGGTGGTGGTGACCCCAACTTTACAAAATGTACAGGCAACGTCAACTGTCCGCGTCTGCATACACTAGCAAAAAAAAAAAAACATCAACAGCGACCAGCGATGCAACCGCTATTTTAGGTTACTTAATATTACAGGTTCAAATTTTAGGGTAGAATTTTGTGTGTGAAAGTGGCCCAGTGTTCTTTCTAATGGTGTTACGCGTGCTTGCCAAAATGATTGAGTGTAACGCTGTTCGCATACTATATGATGTATGTGTGTTAGCCCGGCCGGCTGCAGAACTTTCGTGGGCCACACGGACACCAGCCGAAATTGCCATCTGCACCATTTGTATACCGCTTCATTTATGAGGTGCAAGGCTATAGCAGCTGCTGAGTCTTTTTGCATTACACATGCTCACGTTAAGCAATAGTTAAATAATTTCACGACCCATAATGTGACTTGTGAGTAATAAACAAACATGCTTTATGCCTTAAAAACACACAAGACCCATTGCTTATATGGTTGTCAACAGGTTGCTCTGTAACGCCTCGCGTCTCCTTGCTTTCTCATCGTGGCCTCTGCGATTAGTTCCAGTAACGTGCAGCCGGAGTCAATCACCGAGGCCACGCTCTTGAGGATTAAAGTGGCGAGCTGTCTGCTGCCAAGAGTGTTGCTCTGCTGAATGCATGGCACTGTGATACGATTACGAAGCATGGCGTCGCCGGGGTGGGAAGGGAAGGTTGCAGGATTAAGTGTGGCCGACTGGCGTTGCTTAACGTGTACTTCAAGTCAAACAGAGAAATGTCCTTGCGTTTCTTCGCCATATAAAGGCGGTCACCCTCGCTGAGAGAACATGCCTTAATAGAAGCTTAGCAACGCCTCACCTTACCCACCACGCTACGCCGACGGAAACCATGGGATTCATGCCCCTTGGTGTTTAGAAGAACGTCGACATTCGTCGACGTTCGTCGACGTTCAAAGCTTTTATGCCAGTAAGTGTGCGAGCAGTTTCGCACTTGAAGACATGTCGACATAGTTGAAACAGTCCCCAAATTCTTGGCTATCTTTTATGTGGCCTGCCTAAACATTTTATTAATAATTTATTCCATTTTCAACGCCCAAAGGCATTGCATGTGGGATGGAGGGGGGGGGGGCTTCAAGCTATCTCAAAACATTACAATAAAAACAGCTGGTAACAACCTAAACCAAAAAAACAGACAAACGCACGATCACTCAATACAGGGACATGATAACGACATGCTATCCTAGGTGCAACTCGACATAGCAAATGGCGGGTTAGTTCATCGTAAATATTTTTTCTGTATCTGAGCTGGAAGCGAGGGTGCTAGGCAGCATGTTTCACAAAATTATTGTGTTTGAGAAAAAGGAGGAGATATTTATCGCTGTTGCACGACCAATTATGCATGCAATGAAATATTTGTGATCCAGTCTCACAGATGATCTTACAGATGGAATAATTAGCGTATATCTTGCGTGTGAGCCATAAAAGAAGCAATTGAAACAGGCAAAGGTGAGCAATTTTTCGACGCGGTTCTAGGGTTGAATGCGACAGGTTGTGTTTCAAAGACACTGTACCTAAGTACGGGGAGCGTTGAAATAATGAAAAAAAGTGCAGCGTAGTTTTATACTGTTTCTATTTTGTATTTTAGCTATATGAAGTTTGAAGTTTATTTTGCTTCTATTACAGAGACAAGGAGTAAGAGCAAAAGACTACAAAGGCCTGACAAAGGGCCCCACTTCTGTCGGCACTCAGCAACAGTGGTAGAAATGGCAATACAAAGTTAATCACACAAAGTCATATAAGGTCAAATGTCATATCAGCAGTATACAGACCACATGATGAATAATAGATGAGAAAAAAAAGTAACATGTAGCCTAAATCAAACTAATTCGGATAAGTAGCCCGGAATACAAAAAAAATATGCGCATTAAACAATAGTGAAATACAGATTATTAAGAATCTACGGAATAAAATTTCCTGACTTCAGTAAAAAAGTAACATAGGAAACGAGAGTGAAATGCCTTATTGAATTGCAAAAAAAAAGCATAGGTGCATGACGCGAAAATAATACACACCATGCATATTCTAATTGATGCTCTTTAATATACAGTTTCATAGATTTTCTTCGCAGAGTACGAAATCAAGGGGACTTAAACAATTCAATCATTGCGAAACCTGGTAGCCTACATGCTACCTGCATAAGCTGTTCTGAACTTCGGTATTACCCTAGTTTCATTGTGTAGAGAATACCAACATTTTGATTGAATTGATTTTAGAGTTTGTTCGTTTTTATATGTTGAAAGAGCTTATAGTAGTATATCTGGTTAGCTTTTATCAAAGTGTGTTTAATAAAGAAATGATGCGTTCGCAAATTTTGAAGCCTACCTGTGCAGTTTTCAAGGCATCAATGGACTGTCATTTGCAATATTGTGAATTTCTGATATCAGTCAGTATGCTAATATCAGACAAAGCTGGCTAACATTAAATGTTAGTGTAAATGCTCGCTTAAAAGCTTGCAAATGTTGGCTTTTGTTGCCGGTCCCTATGAAGAAAATCTATTGTCTCCAACACATGGCAATTTTTCGGAAAGAAATTGGTTTTTTTTTTTTTGCTACTTCCATCCACAGATCACTACCTGCGGCCATGAAAACCTTGGCCGTGGCACTAAGGATTTCGAAGCAGCGTCCCTCAAGCGATGCTGAGGAAAGAGTGAAGCTGAGGGACGCCGAAGAGACCATCCACTACGGTGAGTATACAGTATTACGACCGATGGCTGGTGCCTACATTGTGAAGCTGTCACCTCAACAATAAGTTGGGTGAGTCGGTCTTGATTCATGATGTGAAATGCCACTTTATCTTGTGTCCGTTTTTAATCCACATGTGTCATTTCAATCGCGTTTGTACACATCACGAAATCTGATGTCACGTCGTGCGTGCTGCAAATACAGCAAAATTGAATCAAAAATCACTTAAAGCAGATAAAAATACCAGACCGATGAGCTGGTTAGTACTGAACAATTCAGAAGAGTAGAGCAAAGATGCACACAGAGATTGACAGATCAAGACGAGACACAGCACTGCGTCTCGTCTAGCGCTACGGTTCTGAAAAATAACTTAGTACCAAGTGAAGCCACTTCGTCTCGCGTTAGACACTTTTCGATTTCCGCTCCCTTGCTAAGTCGTATCACCAATCTGGACGATTGATGACGTCACTATATATTTTTCTATTAGCCAAACGGGCTTACGCCTCGTAACAGCATTCAACTGAGTTGGTTGGTTGATAGGTGACACTGGTTCAATCAAGGTAACTCGGATCAGCTTAGAATACAACAATAATAATTGTAGGGGTTTAACGTTCAAAAAGCACTCTTTGATTATGAAGGACACACCATAGTGAAGCAAGCAAAGGAAGTTATTTTCACTGTATTTACAGGCAGACGCGTGGTTGGGGCTGTGGGGCTGGAACATCCACTTGGCAGGCAAACGACTCGGGTTCCATTACCACTCTGACCCACAATTTTTTATAATTATATTTCCGGCATCGTTCTCGATTTTTAGGTCACGCAAAATATGATGATTTTTCGCTAACAATCAATGACGGTGACGCCGACACCGGAATTTAGGCGAAAGAGTCTTTTTAATGCTCTCGCGTTAAAGATGGATGAAGAAATTACTTTCTGCCTGCAGACACCGAACCCTACATATTTTTAAAACGTGTTCGAGGCTCAAGCGATTAAACTGCCGCGAGGATTGTACTCCCGTATTTTCGCGCATGTAATCCTAGAAGTTTTAGCCAATTCCACTCGTAGCAGAGGGTGGCGAGTGTTGAGTGCTGTTTTCGCCAATAGAGGAGAGCCGAATCGAATCCGCGAATTTCAGTTGAGAAGCTGAGTACGTAATGCCTATAAATGCTTGGTGTGCAAGAGCGCTAATTACGTGTTTACAAACTAATTATGCCCTGAAATGAAGTGTGCAATCCAAATCGTGAATTTGTGCTTGCTTGGGTAACGTGTACTTGTGGAAAAAATAACGAAATAACGTGTTTCAATCAGCCATAAATTGTCCGTATATGAATTATTTGGATCGATACGTCTACGTGTCACAAAGTGCGGAATATAGAAAACCAAAGCGGGCTACCTTAGGGTTACTGTATATGCTGCTTTAGCATATGTAGTGACTAAGCTGCCTTAGGAATACGTCTGAGTAGAATATTACGGTAATCGAAGCCGGACATTCCGGGTCGTTAGGAAGACTGTACAGGGGCGTATTCTCGAATGAACCATTACGACGTGATACGCAGTGTGGCATATACCTCAAGTGCCCAATTAGCCCAATTACACAGTTCGCGCTAACGGTCGATATTAGAAGTGGAAGAGACGAGAGCTGTAAGCTACTTTAGAGCTTGCCTTTTACTGCGCCGGCAGTCATATTGAAAACCTCGGCGGCTATTACCGGCCTAAGAAAAGCGATTAGCTAAGACGAACCGGTCAAGTGGACGCTCCTTAGGTGCTGGTACAGTCGTGGCACACCTTGTCCACGACAAACGCTTCTAATTATCCAAGACTCATTACAGTTTCGCCGTAATGTTACAAACTATTCCTAATGCGCTCGCGCGACGTAAGCATACTAAGATATCTATACTATTGGGTACAAAACTAAATAGGAGGCGTAATATTTATTAGGAACCCACTGTTATTGACAACGCCTGTTCAAGCTGACAGTTTGCCAATAAAATTTTGGCATATGAGAAGGAACGGCAAGCAAAGATAGTTTAAGCCAGTTTTCTATAAAATAATGTTAGTGCTAGAATCAATGCTACAAGGGGGCCCGATTTCACCACTGAAAGCTTTTAATTTAGCTGTTGCGACAGATTTATAAAGCGAAGTCATTACAACGTAAATTAACCAGTCATCCTGAATTCAGCCTGATTTAATGAGAATGTAACGTTCGCATCTGAAGACTACTAACCATAAATTTTCACAGTTTACAGCAGTTTCTTTATGCAAAATTGGGGTCTGTTGTTTTATTCACCATCCATGATTGACTAATTAAGTAACTGGTTTATTGATTAGTTTGCTGTTTTGATGAATTGAATGATTGATTTATTGGCTGTTTGAACAAGTAATTGATTGAGTGACTGGTTGGTTGTGTTGCGGATCGATATATCAATAGATTCATTATTTCATTGATTCATTCGCTGTGGAATCGACGTAGCGATGCGATAAGTTGCTTTGCTTGTTGGTTAATTGAACTTCCCCTTGGTTGAGTTTTAAGCAGGATGATTGGTTGTTGGGTAATACTTAGCTTGTTTATTTATTCATTTATTTTCTTTCACAGGATCGACACAGTCCCTACAGAGGCGGCTGAGCGACCAAACACTCTACCTGCTCTCTGGAGGTGATGCTGCTGAGAGTGCCATGTTCCCCGACGAACCTTTCACCATGGACACAGCGCCTTACTCCATCACCACTCCCGTGGTCATCACCAGGTGAGAATCAAAGCGAAGATTAGCTCACTCGAGTGACGTTCTTTTATCGCGAGATCCGTTTTTTTTTTATAACTTTGACAGATATCGTGAACCGTGGTATTTTTGCCGATTGCCTTTCTTTTCTAACAATATTTCCGTCTGAGTAACATTGTTACGATGTTACCTGTATACAATAATGTAGTATTTGCAGATAAAACAGTATTCAGTGGTACCAATGTTGTAGCAGTTTAAAGTCCTTGCAAGTGTTTAGCAGATATCACGCTCCTCAGAAAAATGACAAATAGCATAGCAAATGCCGGCCTACTACCCTAAAATTTTTATTATTAACGCCGTAGTGGTATAAAGCAAGTGTGTTTGAAACAGTAACGCTATGAAAGCTTAGAAAAGGCTCTGAAAGGCCGCTCTTTTAGCTTTCGCTGTGTCTGTGCTGCACCTTCCTCGCAAGCCTGGCGTTACTTTTTTTCTTTCTTTTGTCTGCGTACTAACACATTTGCTGTCTGCAAGGTACGGCCATTCAAGCCTTATGTGGCTTTAGCAAGCATGATTGCAAACTTTCACTCTTTCATGCAATTAAGCAAATATTAAAGTAACCTAAATAATAATTTTGAAAGGCTAATAACGGTTTACGAAAGCAGGATGCTATCTAAGGGTGGACAGGACAAATGTTGTGGTCATAAGGTGTACTTGTAATATATAATATAATGCCCATCATTACAGGCCCGAAATACTTGACTAGATTCATTGTTTACGTCAGACCTTGTGATTTAAACTCATCGCTATCAGTGCGTGGCCTACTCCAGGCTATTACTGTGGACGCCATTGAAATATATATTGTCAAAACTGTTTCTTGTCGTTGCCGTTGTTGGTGTTCTGTATCATTGAATCGCTGTGGAATTGTAGTGAAAAAGTCAATGAGATCACTTTAACACTACTTATAAGCTCTCTCTGAACACTGATTAGCTTTGACGTTTTGTTTAGAGTACCATACTGCACTAACGACGCAATTTGACTACTTTGGAGCCACGGGTGTTATAGTACGCTACACTTGTTTTTTACAATTTTTAAATCAGGGCATAATAAGTTATTTCGCTTATCTCCTGTGTGTTTACAAATAAGTTTTACATCAGAGCTGTTATGCTCAAGGTTTGCTAAGTGTCGTTAATAGAAAATTATCACCGTCATGAACTAGCGCACGCTATCTCGATCCAACCTTATTTTCGTCTTTTTCTGCTTCACTCCAGTAGCCCGGCGTGGGACGCAGTAACACTGACAGATGAGAGAAGGAGTACATATACAGAGAGAGAGAGATAGGGACAACCAAATTCCCAGTGAAAAAGATATGAGTTTTTTATTTTTGCGAGTAAAGATACGAGCTCGCATAACGTACAAACGATCCGAAAGTGAGTGTCGTAACCATGCTCGACTATCTACGCACGCTATCAGAGCATAACATGGCCTTATACAGCGAAGTACAGCAAGGGGATGGAAAGAAGAGCTGAAAGTGAGGAGGGGGGAAAAGAGGTGAGAGTGAAACATAGCAGAGACATAAGACAGAAAGAGAAATAGAAAGAAAAAGAGATAATCAAAGAGAGACATAGAAATGAAGAGAGACAAAAGGAAACAGAGGAAGCGAGAAATAGAGGGAGAAAATAAAAAGTCAACAAAGAGAGAAGTAGAAACACCAACAAAGATAAAGGAGAGTTAAAGAAATGAAGATACAAATTGAGGTAAACTGATGCAAAAGAAAAAAAAAAGATCAAGTATAGTAACGTATACCATATTACACTATAGCAAATGGTAGAAAAAGATAAGGTGAAAGCTGAGCCAAGCTTGGACCATCTAAGTGTCCAACAGTTTCGGTGTGACCCATCCATGCGCAACTCCATGCAAGCTGGACTAACACATTTTGCCAAACCAAACAAAACCTCATGCGTTCCTATATTGACGCTTGCCATGCTGAATCCAAACCTACGTGGTCAAGTACAACACCAACCCATTAAGGCACAAGGCACCAGTCCAGACGTCTTAGTTTTCAATCGAATGGTATTGGCGATCTTGTATCTCGCACACATATTGCATGAAGAGACGACAGAGTGGGCATGTGGGCATTGATAAATGGGAAGGGCGGCAACGCAAGGTTGAGGCCCTCGGAAATGCGGACGAGACGGCGCTTAGAAGTCGGTGCTTCGTCCCATCTCGCCCTCTCTTTCGTGGGCCCAAATCATGCACTGCCGCCTTCGCCGTCTCGGACAATGCCTGATTAAAGTTGCTCATTTGACAATGCCCGAAATTCCGGTCGGTGCCTTCGCGGTGCTTCTACCTCTTGGAATAAATTGATATATGTCATTCGCAGGCCCAAGTTGAGGCAAGACATCACAGCAACGTCGGCGCTGAAAGCACAGGACTTCCAGGTGTGGCGTTTACTGTGCTCTAACTATTTTCATGTTTCGTCAACGATTGTTTATGCTATGGTAATGCTGTGTACATAATGATCCCGGGATATTTCGCTCAGGTGATAAGAGTTTAGGAATGGGGCTGTCCTCTAGCATCACAAGAGATAAAGATTGCCCCTCCATAAGAAGAGTTTTAGGCAAGAACTGTTGTTATAACCCACAGCACCAGAAAGGTAACGTCGGAAGCTCATAACGAGTGTTACGCAGCGTTCTATAGTTTTGTAAGACATGGATTGATTTGATAATTTATATGTGGGGTTTAACTTCCCGAAACCACCAGATGAATATGAGAGACGCCGTAGTGGAGGGCTCCGGAAATTTTGACCACCTGGGGTTCTTTGACGGGTTTTGTAAGCCATGGAACACTGTAACACAGACAAGATCCGTCGTAATCTCTTCTTTGATTGACATTACGAAATAAGTTGGGACATTTAGGTGGCATCAACAACTACTTGTCAATAAGAACTTCAAACAAATAACAAACTAATCACACTAACTTATAAGAAACAAAAGAAGTATCGTGCAAAATAAAGCACCAAGAGTATGACTAGGCACCGAATTACCAAAACTATTCTTTCGTATGCGCGTCTTCCCGTTGGTCAGCCGGCTTCGCTAATGATATGCATCGCATCGAAATTGGTTGACATATTTCTGTGCAATGTTTTTCCCAAGACATTGTTGCGAATACTGGCCAAGAACTATAACATAATGCCAACAGCCAGTACATAAAAAAGTATCATACAGGAGCTCAGAAAAGTTAATAACCAAATCCACTTGTTTCGCATAACGCGCACCCAACTCATACCCTTTTCCAGCAAAGCAACGAAAGTATAGCACAATGATGGCTTCTCATAAATCCAGCACTTGTAGATCACGCTTGCTTTCTACCTTTTGTAATGAAATCGCGTTGAAGAGCTCACTTCGCGGAAAATCCGATGTCAGCGTCATCGTCGTTAATAGTGATTGCCGAATCGGCGTTCTCTGTGATCGTCGATTCAACATAAAGGTGAATGAATATCAAAAAGAAATTGCATAATTCATTCATTCATATGTGGGGTTTGACGTCCCAAAGTCACCATGTGATTATGAGAGACGCCGTAGTGGAGGGCTCAGAAAACTACGACCACCTAAGGTTCTTTACCGTGAACCCGAAACTGAGCACATGGGCCTACAGCATTTTCGCCTCCGTCGAAAATGCAGCCGCCGCAGCCGGGATCCGAGCCCGCGACCTGCGGGTCAGCAGCCGAGTACCTGAGCCACTAGACCACCGCGGCGGGGTTAAAACAAATTGGGGAGGGACAATAAAATATAAGCCTTTTGCATATCAAGCAGGTGTTCCACCATGGACCCATGCCAATGCTTAAAAGTGCTTTGCGAAAAGAGAACACTACAGGAATTTCATATAGGGGCTTGAATCTTCTTAACACGTGCAAAATTGCGTGGCTGTATTGCACAATAAAACGTTGTGCCTAAACATGCGCGCTGCGCAAAGTCACGGTGGTGTAAAGCTGGCGACCGTTACAAAGCGCGCAGCTTCTGTAGTGCGTGTGGGACGTGTAGTGCGTACTTCGCCACTCTGCAAAAGGAAAAGTTATGACGTAGCGGGCACTTCACAAATTCGCATGTAGTAGGCATTCTATAGGATAGTTCGAAACTGCCAACGTTAGACATCCCACAGACATCCTTCTTCTAGCAGCACGTTTGAAGGCAAGGCGCTCGGTGGCTGATTACGCTATCGAGTTCTGCTATTGAAGCTGAAGCTGAAACGTCTTCTAAGTTTTTGGTGGAGATTTCGCCTTCTCTCAGCATTAGGTGTGAAGCAACAACGAAATAACTATTACAGACTTTATTTGTGCGTCGCTTTTACTTTGCATCCAGGTTTGCGTCACAATCATCGAAGGAAGGCATCTCGCAGGCCTCAACATGGATCCAGTTGTTTGTGTGCAAGTTGGCGACCAGAAGAAGTACACTTCGGTCAAGGAATCCACAAACTGTCCGTACTACAACGAGGTAATTACTTTATTGACAGTGTTAAGAGCAAACTGAAATACTTGGGTACACTAACTGAAGAACGTGAACTGTCTTGTGGCATACTGAACAAAGTATTTCCCAACGCTAAAGTGTTCCTAGTTCGAAGCTGATTTCTTTTTTGTAGGCGCGGACGTTGATGCTCTCAGTACAGGTAGTCTCTGAGCTGAGAACACTTGTTAAGATTCCTTAAAAATGCAGGCTTCATTTAAAGACTGCTGTTTTGTTGAAAGTTGTGAAGTGTTATGCCTAATTTGAATGCCTGTTATGCACCATGTGCACGATTTTAATTTAATTTTCTTTATCTAAGGCTGCATGCCACAGGCTTACCACCAGGCAAACTTTCCTTTTATATATGAAATATGAATTGTTTCTTTTTTTTTTACTTTTTAAAACATATCACACAAAATATAGTGGTAAAATTTGAGGCATCGCACTTCAGAAATAATTTATTGTGAATCACTTGAGGGCTACTATTTTTTAGGAATTTTAGCTTTATTCAACACTTTTGCTTCAAGCATCTGCTTTTTTTAGAGTGGTACAGAGGTAATTTGCTAATTTTCATTCAATTTCTTTTCCAGTACTTCGTCTTCGATTTTCACATGGCACCATCAATGTTGTTCGACAAGATTGTAACGCTAACGGTGAGTTTGTTTACTCAGTTGCATTTTTGCTCGTGTTAAATGTAAGTTGCGGTTAGAAGCTAACACCATCGTCTTGTCCTCTGCAAGCAATTTCGACGCAACGTATGAGTAAACAGGAGGTGTTACTTACTGCGGTTTTAGACGTGTGTTAAAGAAACGCGTTAAAATATCTTTATTTACGTCTCCTAATACCCGGAACGATTTGCTTGCAAGGACTGAAAAAAAGGATAAAGTAACGTTGCACGTGCTTAAACCAACAGGTTTATTGAGTATGGGTACTTAAGCAGCTACGCGAGTGTTTCAGTTAGAAGCGTCTGAAAGAGTTAAGCATTCTTTCAAAACGACTTGCTGCTTTCTTCCATAATAATGTTTCGTTTTCTTTCCTCAACAAGGCGTTTTACCCAGTGCTTTTTCTGCAGGCGTTGCACAACCGGAACATCATACGTTCGGGAAAAGTTATCGGTACCTTCAAGCTCGACGTTGGTACAGTCTTCAACCAGCCGGGTGAGAAAGCTTCGACTTCCGAGACTCGATGCGAATTGTTGGGGCCAGTATTAGCGGGCAAACGACTAAATGAGTAATTTTTTTTTTCAGATCACCAGTTCTATCACAAGTGGGCCGTCCTCACGGACCCTGATGATATGACAGCCGGTCCGAAAGGCTACATCAAGTGCGACATATCTGTTGTCGGCAAAGGGGACACAATAAAAGTTAGCGCGTCTTCTATTACGTCAACATCTAGTAGATACAGTAGATATCTGTGCGCAACGACACATTTTGTCAAGTCGTGTCTCGACAATTTTGAACGATTGCTCCCGTGTAGCTAAATAAAACGAGCATTCTCAGGGTAATAAAATGTGTTTTTTTTTAATTAAGAAGTACTAGCAAATAAACGAATACTTGCACAAAAATAAGAAGAAAAAGAAACGCACAAAAAACGGCATAACAGCAAGGAACAGCAAATTCGATAAATATATTTTTTAACTCTGGCAGGACTGATTTCACTGACGCTCATCTAAATATTGTGATAAGGTTTATATCTATTGAAATATCCCATGCTTTCATAGGTACGGCAACAAACCCTTCATTTTGAGGGCACGGTCTAGGTAAACGCTGCATGTATTTGCAAGTAGTGGTTTCCGGTCGTTTCATTCAAGGGGGCTGGTTGCGAAAGGGGGGGGGGATACTTCGTGTGTCTATGTTGTGCTTCAGTGCCTACAGATCACGTAGAAATTCCTAGTAGTAGAAGACGATGAAAGGAGAACCACTTGTTTTTTGTTCATACAACTCTAATTCTGAAGTTTCTTTTAAGATAACAAGGAATTAATAACGTTTCCTACAGCTACATGAAATTGCTCATGTCAATAGTGCTGAACTTACCAGTCTAGCAGCCATAAGCTTGACTTACTGGGAGTGCTAAGGATTAAATTAATAAGCGCGCAGCTCTCATTACATGCACTGTTTCCGCGCCTTTATTTTTGTTAAATTATGCGGTGCTGTGTTTCTGTGCGCGCTTTTTTTAAACTCGCATATCTTGATGCTTAGGTTATGTATAATGAAATAAAATAATATAGTTACACAATAAAGCAGTATATTAAATTTATCATTTTTTGTTTTAGTTGCAGTACGTGGTGGACAATCGTCAAAGTCGTATTAAGTAATGTTACTTACAATTGTTTCATCGTTGAACTCGTAAACTTATGTTGCGTCTTCAATACACGAATTTTTAACGTACATCAATAAGTGCAGCGCATGTTGACGTGATTGAAATCGTAGAGGTGGTCCTCGCCTTCATGTACCTTCATTTTTTGAAATCTATACAAATTTCTCTGAAAGAAATACATCCTCCTCTGAGTAGCAAAAGACTTTGTGAACGCGAATAGCTTGATGGTTTCGATGGGTCAAATGTAAATGACGTCGCCAGTGACATTGACAGTCGCTCATTGCCGTAAAATAACGTGCAGGCTTTGGTGAAATGTAGTTTCACTTTGAGAACAATCTTAACAGCGCAGTTGTTATTGATATTGGCACATTAGTTAGTCGCCTAAGAACGTAATAATAAACATCGACATAATTTACACAAGCTATCGTTTCATTCGTCCTTAGCCGGCACCCAAGAAGGAGACAGACGATGATGACATTGAAGGGTAAGTTTTGAATTTATAATATTATCAGTCACTATTTATGAAAGAAAATTTTTGTGGTCTACGTATAGATATAGTTTATTAAAAACAAATAAATGGTCACAGAAAAATGTTACAATTCATTTTTTGGACTTGATAGGTTTTCGAGGGTGCAAAAATGATTACTTTCGAGTATTTACCTCTAAAAGACGATAAATTGCATCACTAAATATACTGTGGGCGCTGTGTCAAATTGCTGAAGGGGCTTACATTACAGAAAATAAACGCCGAAACCCATCACACTTGCATATAATTATACTAAAACTGATTGTTATCCAGCTGATACTTTCTATACAAAGAACAGGTGTATTGGTCCTCCTTATTTAAAAATCAGCACTGATGCTTTTGGAAATCGGTACCACAAAAAGAAATTCTTATTTATATATACACATTTATGCCTGAACATTGTTTATAGCTACGAGAGGGCACTTAGAATAAGCTTATGATATTTGATCTCAATTTCAGCGAGTGCCTTGAAATGAACAAAATCGTCACATGAAAGTTTTAATGAGCTCTACAACAACTTTTAGGTGCCTATGAAACAGAAACACTTCCTAAAATACCTTTTTGTGCATATAATAAATGTCAAAGAAAACATCCGTTTAACCCAAGAACTAGCCATATGTCGCTATCGTATCAAGAAATTTAGTGATTACGCTAGCGTGAAAAACAATAAAACAGCTACAAACTTTCTACAGATTTTGTCTCTTTTACTATTACCTTCGAAAAACAGAGACATACTGTAAAGACAGTAGTGAGTAATACAAATATGCATCACAATCGCTGTGAAAATAAAACAACACAGGAAAAAATAAAACTGGAAATAAAAGTGACAGTCAAGAAACAATACAGCGCTGATTCGCTTAAAGTTAAAGCACAACAACAAATGAATTTCAAAAGTGCAGCTCCTTTATTGTTAACGTGGTTGAAACAGAAAGGCCATTCATTGACGCGAAGAGAAAAAATCGCTCCATCTTTCTTAATAAATTCATGGGCCCTGGTTTCCGCTGAAAAGGGGACTCCATTAACTCGGTGGCTGTACCGTTGTGTTATTCGGTTTGTCGTCCCGACTGTGCGGCTTCGTTACCTCCGACTTTTACCTGATCCCACTTTGTGCTCTCCTAATCGTGTCTGAATGGGGTCGCATAAATTACAGTAGAACTTGTCGGCGCCCCATCCCGCTTTCGCGTCTGTGCCTGCATGGTTGTGGCGTGTGCTGGTTTCCTCACCTTGCCTTTCATCGAGCTGAGGCTGTGATGGCTAATAAATCTCAAAGCAAGTGAATCACTCTCGTTGTGCTTGTTTGCCGTAGTGGTCTACATGACCAGGTTGCTGGCCTCTGGATAGATTGTCGCAGATGATGTTGTGCCTAACAAAAGATACAGGGTCGAATGAAAAGAACAGGAAAAAAAAAACACTTCCCGCGCTTGTCTTCCGAATGAAATGAACAGAAAAAACACTTTTCGCGCTTGTCTTGCTTCTTTGCATTTTGCTACCAATCTTTCTTTCTTTCTTTTTTCCTTCTTTTCTTATATTCTTCTTTTTTCTCTCCTTCAACCATTGCTTTGTTTTCTTTCTTCTGTTTTGGTGTCCTTGTCACCCTTATTTCCTTCCCTCTTCTTTCCCATTTCCTTCTTCCTTTAATTACTCCTTTCCTCCCTCTTCATTTTTCGTTTTGTTTACCTCTTCTTACATTTCATTCTGTCCTTTTTTTTTCTTGCTTCTTTAGGCCAGCTTATGCTATGTGGAATGTTACTGTGTGTTCCATGGAGTGCGTTCGATTGTCATGTCGTTGTTCACTGTCGTGTTTCTCTGCTGCGAAGTTCAATCCTCCAACCTGCGAAATTCTGTGAACGCGAGCAGAAACCTACTCTTGCCGGACGGCGTCCCCGCCGAACGGCAGCACGCCCGGTTCATCGTGCGCGTTTACCGCGCCGACGGCCTTCCCCGGGTCAACTCTGGCCTGGTCGCCAACGTCAAGAGGGCTTTCTCTGGCGAGACTCGAGAGCTGATCGACCCCTACGTTCAGGTCTCGTTCGCAGGACTCACCGTAAGTGAGCGAGCGAGTGCGAATGCCCCGACATGCCTCGTAATTTACTAGACGAGAAAAGAACGAGAGCACGGACGTGTTGATGATGATGACTTATACTGCACGTCATCGCACATGCGTGCTCGAAAAAATGAAATAACCTAATGGATTGCGGGTATTTACGTGAGGTGCGTTGATGTGCCCGCGGGCTGCTATCTGTAGTGATGTGCACGTTTTGAAAACGTTCAAATTAATTGCGCATGTCATTCACGGTGCCTAAATTGGCGCGGTAATGAATAGACAGAGGTGCGTACGCTACTGGATCAACCAATACGCGACGTGCCGGCTTTAGCACTAGAGTTAAGTTTCATTAAAGTTCACTTTCAACGAGCTTTTAACACGAACGTTTTAACATAAAGTTTTCGCTTCTTTCGAAAATTGCAGCAGCCAAAGCCAGAATCCGATCCCGCAACCTGCATGTTTAAAAGCACGTAATAAACGTATTAAACAAAGTTATGGTGCTTTGCAAGTATGCTTCACCTTTAAAAGATGTTACTTAAAAAAAGCACATTTTACCAAAATGAAAAAAAAATGGTGAAGGATCAACGTTTTCTAAAGGTGATTCACCTCCGAAAACCTCTGCATGAAAAATTTCAACCTTCAGAGGTTAAAACAACAGTAAAGTTATATAATGAAGATTTAAACGAAAACTTCACCTTTGATAGCCTCTATTTGAGACAGAGCACCTTTTACAGAAGCTAACAACAATAAAGATGCATGGAGTTTTGGAAGTGTGCTTCTTCTCTAAAAGACAATGCTTGAAACAAAGCACGCTTTACAGGGGCAAACTGCTGTGAAGAAGTCCTGTTGTTCACCCGTGTGGAACGAGCAGCTGGTATTCACGGAGATGTTCCCACCGCTTTGCCAGCGAATCAAAATCCAACTGAGAGATAATGATGCCGTGAATGACACCGTGGTTGCCACGCACTTCCTTGAAATGTCCAAAATTGCCAATGAAGGGGATAAAGGTACAGTAAGAAGTTATTGTCTTTCAGTGAATTAAGGTCTTCAAACAAATAGAACGATTTGTCCTATTTGTTAATGCGTCCCTACCTATCCAGGTCTTCGCTGCCTTCGAACGTAAAGCTTGATAATAATCAAGGCATGTACACAGAAATTATGAGCAATAAAGATATGATGTGCGTTTATGTAATTGTTTATTTAACAAAGTGACCACTGTGCAGAACGTTTATACCCCTGCCCGATCACCAAAAATGTTTTGACTAGTATAGCTGATTTTGACATAGATATCCACATCGCTACACCTCGCATCATCAGCCATTCAACGCTTGATTTAAAGGTCACCCAATTCGGAATGCACTCACTGACATTTTCAAGCAATCACTCACACTTCCTAGCAGGTTTCGAGTAAATGTTTGTTAGTGGAGTCAGTGAGTCAGCCGGTGAACGCATGTATTCATAAAAATAATAACTGAATGAATCAACAAAAAAATGAAATGACTAAAGTTTCAGTACCTCCAGATAAGCATAAACATAACTAGGAGTCCTCACACAGATTGTAGATTGTGTTATGTTTACACCTTGTGTTTCAAATCATTAGCTTCCACCTTCACACTTTTAAATCTTTCGATCGGTTATTCAGTACTCAAATAAATACAAATAAATGAATCAATAAAAGAATAGATGAATAAATACGCTGATTGTTTTCTCGATAAATCTGCTCATGAAACAGTGGTCAGCACCCCAACTTATGAAGCTCTTCCCGTATCTGTTCTTATTTCTGACGCAGGCTTCCTTCCAACGTTCGGACCTTCTTTCATCTACCTGTATGGATCGACGCGCGAGAAGTCTCTTTTCGAAGAGCACGCGCCGTTGAACGACGGTCTCGGCGAAGGAGTGATGTACCGCGGACGACTACTGATCGCCATGCGCACCGAGATCTTCGACGCGCTCGACATGACACAATCTAGCGTCGATCTGGAACCCACGCCGCCAGTGAACGAGGTGAATTTACTGGGTCCCCGAACCAGCGAGTTCTAGAAAAGCTGTCTAAAAGAACTCTGATTACTTAAATTGTTTGTATTTTCTCTCAACATTTTCAGCAAAGCTCGTTGATTTGCGTTAACCTCTCAAAGAAGGAATAGGAGAAAAAGAAAAAGCAGGCCAACTAATTTTAAAAAGTGAAATACTGCCGTATACACTGGAAAAGGTGCTAGGAATGTTGTGGCCGGAAATAAAAGTGGGTTACAGAACCAACTTATCAGCCGTTGAAAGACGCGAGAGATGACGACTCAAGTAAGAGATTATAAACTTTGTGGATAGTTTGTGCACGTAATAATTTTTTATGCACATTGCCATCCGGAGGTAACGTGAACTTTACAGAACATTTATGGTTCACTGTTAAATATCCTCCTTAGCACGTGGCATGAAGGTGCTCACATAGTTTCATGCTCTACCACTAACTTGTGTAATAATGTACATAAGTTCTTGGAAATCAGCCACGCGGAAATGTGCATTCAATATGCCCAATTCGCGTTATTTTTTCTTTGTTGGAAGTTGCTGTGTGCAGGTGGGGAATATCGATATCTTTACGTGAAACACCTTGATAATTTTCTTTTTTACATGACTGCCAGGCCTCCTACGCCAAGAACGAAAATTTTCTCCTGTTCGGTGCCATCCTGGAAGCTTCCATGATTGACCGAAAATTCGGCGAGAAGCCCATTTACTTCGAGCTGAGCATAGGTGAGTTTATTAATATGCAAGAAGGCTGAAATATCTAGCTCTGCGACACGAGCACCGAAACAGAGTAATTATATGTGCACGACTGAAGCATAGACATGTTGTAACTGAAATCAATACATGCTTTGAGTTTGGGACGTGCGTGTTCAAAACGTTGAGAACTCTAGAACCAATTCATGGCTTTGATAAGCGCTTGCCTGTACCACCTGAATAGCTAGCTCAATATGCCTAATATAGTGCACGATGCAGCGATCTATACCTTACAGAAAGTAAACGTCAGTCTTATGTTACGTGACAACAAGTAAGTGCAATAAGCGAGACCTTTATTGTCTCTTTCAAACAAAACGCAAAAGACAAGCTTGAAGTGTGGGGGATGGGGTCGGGGAGGTCTTGGAACTGTCAAAGGTGGTATTGCGTGCGTGTAAGCGAAACAGTACAAATACAACTTTTTTTTTCGCGTCCGCCCCCTCCCTACTATTGACTAGTTGCCGCTTCCGGGCATTACTTATCAAACGCGGTAAAATATGCAGTTCAGAACATTGCGTCTATTAGCTCTTTTGAGTTTGTTTGCCGAACAACGTTGGCGAATACATTTTTTATAGACAGCTAAAAGAATACGTATAGAACGCCTTTCACTCCACGTGTTTTTGTGTGCTTTACCTGTGTTTGAATTTGATATAGCGCCAGACAGCTTGGATCCAACATGTTAATGCCACAAGCCTTACGTTAAAAGCTTGCGAAAAAGTTTACCGTGCCTGATTGTGAAGGGAAGGAGAATGCTTGGAGTGTCAAGCTTCAGAACAGGTTGGTGCACTGCACAGATGGTCTTGAGTATACTGCTTCCAGCTGTCTTGCGACAAAGAAAACATTGGCCAGACGGGCCGCTGTCTTACGGCATGGCTTAAAGAAAATACCTACGTTTGTTTATTGTTACCACATCCTAGTAACATAGCCACGCACTGCGCTGCGTGCAAATATATGCCATATTTTTGGGTACAAAAGCGGTCAGGAGGCACCTGAGCAAACAGAAAGAGAAATTACCGAGACTTTTTTTTTTTGCTCTTACATGTGAGGGTGGCGATAGTTCACCGTTCATCATCCTATCTCAAAGACGAATTGAGTTTCTAAAGGCAGCTATGATAACTTACATACAATGCTTTGCAGGATGTCTTTCGTAGGATGGTGACGTGTTCACCTATGTGCAACATGTGCTTTTTTTTTAGTCATTCGCTGTTTGTTTAATTCGCTGTCTTCTTTTTTGGGTCATGCATACGAAAGTGTGTGACACAAAAATAAACAATTTTAGTACGCACATCAACCTTTGAGCGTTTTTTTTTCTGTCGTCACTTCAACCAGTTCCTGGCAACGTGAAAAAGCCACACTTTCATACAAACTATAGCCCCAAGAGCAGCGTTACATGCACATTAGTTGAAACAACATAGCCAACAATCACACATGTATATACCAAGTGTTGATGAAAAGAAACATTACATAACATAACCAAGACTGAAATACCTAGCAGTCACATAAACACACACTGTTAGCCTCAAACAAACAAGGCTACGCTGGTAACAGCAGCGAAGAATGTAGTAAGTTGAGTTCAATGCCAACAAATGTACAAGCCCAAAACGCGTGATTGTGCTGTACTTATCTGAGCTGCTCACGCCTACGAACACGCCGCTCAACGAACGTGAGCTCAAATATATAAAATTGTATGCGGTCCAGGAGCAGGCGTTGTTCAAAAGCAGTGTGAACTCCCGTTTTTCCTGGTTGCGTTTCAGGTAACTCAGGCAACACCCTGGACGGCGCGAGTAAGTGGAAGGATGACTCACTCGAGTCTGCCAGCGGAAGTGGCAGTGACGAGAGGACAGCACTGCTAGAGTCCGTGGTCGTTGACCCGGTCATCTCACACTCCACCAGCCAACCGGTCAAGCCCGTCACTTCGGACAGGTGACCGATGCGTGCACGCGCGAATGCATCACAAAATATACGCAAGAATGGCCCCTAAAGCACTCCGACTTTGATACGACAGAGTGGTGTCTTTCTTATCTTCACTATCTTGTCTACTGGCACCATCTTTGCTACATAAACCAATATATAACAGAGAGAGGATAAGAAAGCGCAAAGAGTTGAGTCTGTGGGAGCTCTATGCTTTTCAGCAACAATCTATTAAATGCCCTTGCGCAGTCAAAAATGCATAGCTTGCACCAAAGGCGCCGGGTCAGAACCTCCAGTGGAGATAGTGTTCTAACAAGCTAAGTTTAGCTAGTAATGCCAAGCTTTTGGCAGAGATGCTAAGCTTTTACTAGTAGTACGACTAAGTATGGCTAGACTTCGTTAGGCATATCACGTGACTACCTGTTACGTGATGTTGTGATTATAGTGACGTCACTACCGTTTACGTGCTTTTAGGCGGGAATGCATCACGTTACCAGCTATTACACGATGTTGCCTGATTTTAGCGACGTAACTGAATATTAAGTGTTTTATAGTAACCTGATGTTACTTGAGCATAACCACGCGATTGGTTACGCGTTGTTACGTAATTTTAGTCACCTGAATGTTGTTACGTAATTGTAGACTTGTGACAAAAAAGTGATATCAGTGGAACACCCACAATAGTCATGCGAGAGAGGGCAGAGCGAGCTTGCGACTGCACTGCTAATCAGTGTAGGAGACAATTAATGACTGATATACCTCTGGAATTCTTTTTAGTGATGCGAAAAATAAAGACACCGACACAAAAAAACTCCCAAGCATTTCCCCGAGGGTGAACATGGTTAAGTGCGAATACACGGGGTGATGCTATGAGGGGTATTTATTAATTCGCACTATTATATTCATTATTCACACTATGGTGCTTTTATGGTGTAATGGTTTCTGGTAATCGCAATTTGATCACACGGGGGAGTTTACGTTAACTCACTGGCGAATGCCAACGGACACGACCTGCTCTCGACGGGAGACTGAGAGAGAACGCGGGCGCGCGAGAGAGAGGGGTGCGCGCGCAGCTGCAGCGAGAGAGGAGAGCGGAGGAGCGAGCGAAGGGGGAGGGGGTATAAGGCGCGTTACTGACACCGATATCAGCGTCGCGTCCGTTGCTTATTCGGTAGAGCGTCGCCGTGCGGCCCGCCAAGTCCTCTTTTTTTTAAAGATAGAGAGAAGACTGCAGACGCCGCCGACGGTGGTGGATGGTTTGGGGTCGCTTACAAAGTGTATTCACACTTAATAAAGTACAAACAAGGAGGACGGGCGGTGCACTGATATCCCTGTTGTAAGGCCCAATCAAGCTTATTTCCTTATGACGTCACGTGAACAAACGGCTGGAGTCACGAATTATACTGTAAAAACGTAAACGCCAGGAAACAATTATGCTCTCGTTTTTTTTTGTATTTCCCGAAGTTTAGAGACATATACAGAAGGTTGATATTTACGCCAGTGCTAATAAGTATATGTAAGTGCGTATGTATTGAACATGTGTATATAAAGGAACATGTAAATGTATATAGGAGGAAAAACAATGTATATATGTACATCAACAGTGCAACACCATTTTCCATAACCACTGCTTCACTACAAACAAATGAAAGACAGGGTATAGGTTGAGGGGCCATTGTTTCTTTACACACAATTGAATTGGCTTAGCAGATTCTGAAGCCTTGTAAGCATAGATTGTATTATTCGTAGTAATTACATGACTAAAGGTGAATGAATTTAAAGTTAATGAATATACGACTCGTCACCACTGTAGAGGAGACAAAATACGGGCGCATGGGAAGGTCACGGGTTCGATTATTCCACGTTGTGCACTCTTTTGTTCACAGGTGTTACTATCACCTACCATACGGAGACAACAAGCCCTGTCTTTGGGTGAAGAGTACATGGCAAGACTACCGGAGGCGCCTTTACAACTCCAACATGATCCTCAGGGTGAAGGAGAAGCTGGTAAGATGGAAAATAGCGTGAAAACTATTTTGCGGAAAAGGGACAGTATGCATTTGAAGCAGAGTCTTGCGTATTTTTTTTTCGCAGTGTATTCACAGTTTGTTTTGCCACACTTTTGCAACCCACTCCAGCCTATTGCTTGCAAATCACGCTGACAGTATAAATAAGTAAATAAATAAATAAATAAATAAATAAATAAATAAATAAATAAATAAATAATCTACAGAACGTTCAGTCAATACAATAACTCGATAACTACAAGTAACTTCTACGAGAGTAAAAAAAAAGCTGCTTTAAACAGAAACAAAAGCTGATAGAATCCTCGAGTACATTCTTGAATGAATTCTCTTTTGTGACCGAAAGTAGTTCGCAAAAGACTGGAAAGACACGTTGTTTTCATCTTGCTTAACGCTAGTACGTACACATCGTAACATTTTAGTTCTTAATGTTTCGTTCGCTAAACGGATATTTCGCTCGATCTTGAATTTTTCGTATTCGAACTGGCAAACTTGTTTTTCGTATTTTTTTTAGGAAGCTGGCCTTGCGGACATTCAAGAGATGATACGCCTCGAAAAATCTCACACCGACCGTCGTTTGAGAGGCGTGCTCGAAGAACTCTACACCGGAGCCGAGTAAGTGCAGCGACGCGAGATTCAGTCAACTGCGCCACATTATTTATTATCATAATTATCGCCGGTAATAATACACCGACTAGTACCATTTTTGTTTCTTTGAAGTGCCTGATACAGAAGAAAGTGGTGCGAACGTATGACGTCTCTTAATTGCTAATCTATTGTCTCAGTATGGTGAACACAAGTAAGCACGTTAACAGCCACAAAACGAATAAACAAAGACATGGAAGTCATCCTGAAACGCCCTATCACAAAAGTTTTTCTCAATAGCGTATCTTTCACTAGAAGTTTGAAAAGAAATGCCCACACTTTGTGCCCACTTACATAGTAGAAACTTGCAGCAACCTTTTGTATCATACATGAATTTTCGTGATTCTATACTGGCGTTTTATTATTATCATTATTATTATTATTATTATTATTATTATTATTATTATTATTATTATTTGATTTTCATATACAATGACACAAAAGAAAGGGAAAGAGAGCAGGCTTGCAACTTCCACCTAAATGTGCACATCAGCTGCGTACGTTTTGATATGTGGAGTTTTAACGTCCTAAAACAAAAATCTGATTATAAAGGATGCCGTAGTGGAGGGTCCCGGAAATCTCGACCTCCTGGGATTCTTTATTTTTGCCACCAATCTGAGCACATGGGCCTACAGCATCTAAGCCTCCAACGAAAATGCAGCCACCACAGCCGGGATTCAATCCCGCGACCTGCCAGTCGGCAGCCGAGTGCCTTAGCCACTAGACTACCGTGACAGGGCTGCCTACGTATCCGGGAGGAGGGACCAGATATAAAGAAGATAAAAAAAGTAATAAAAAATGTTTGAGTGATTACAGTGGTTGCAAACAAACAGGTCAGTCTTATCCTGGCACAGGGATATCGACTACTTATTATAACAATGCTTCCCAGGACTCTTGAGGCTCTGATCTTTCGAACGTACAACAGATGTGTCGGGTAATTTTTTGTTTCAAATTCTTAGTATATAGAATACGTTCCCAAGATGTGCCTTTCCTATTACCCTTGTCGACGTAGCTATGAATATAAACATATATGTAGGAACTTTGCTCACAGCATGATAAAAGTTGATCGGTCTTACTTATTTGCCATAATTTTCTAGAGATACTCTGAATAAAATATTGTATTCAATATAATGGCCTCCATTTCACTGTTGAAGCTACGTCCCGCTCAGTGGAACTCTCCGGAAAGTTTAGTTTACAAAGTGGGGTCATCCTGCGAGTTGATTCCACTGAGTGCGACTTACTTCCAAATCGCCAGTTTGTTCCGCTCAGCACATACGAATACACAAAGAAAGGGGTATTGCAAGGGCTTGTTTATCTTTGTAATACATAGCTATAATAAAAACAGAACTAACTGTTCTCATCAGTGTTGCCTCGGCACATGTCGGGCAGAAAAGTGAGCTTATGTGATAGTAGCTTTCAAGATGCTCGAACTTTGTAGAGGATCCGGTCACCTCATTAGTAATAACGCATTGACGTATTGCGGTTTTTTTTTTGTCTTTAAGGCGTTACTTGAACCAGGCGAAGAGCCAAGGTCCCACCGGAAAAACAAAGCTCGACAAAGAACGTCTCAGGCACTGTCAACGGGAAATGGTACGTCGTAGCTCTAGACTATGCTTTTTTCGAGTGCACTCGTGGCGAGGAATTAGGCCCGAATTGATGAATTACTGATTATGGAGAGAAGATGTTTAAAGAACATTCATGAGAGTACGTGTCACATTCACTAGAAGAACCTTTTTGGACAGATCTTAACATCGAAATTCTAACAGCCTAAAAGAGACAAAAGAAGTTTAAAAAATTCGACCGGGTGGCTGATTGTTTCCTGTTGTCGGTATTACTATCAGATGCCTTATTCAATCCTGATGACATCACTCTTGAAAATGCCATATTTCGAGAGAAGCGGTGATAGTTTGCTTCGGTAAATTATTTGGTGTTAATGAATTTGAGTTTGACCATTGCACATAAACATTTCAAAAGGTACTACACTTTAGATACTATCTAATGAATATCAAATATATTTCAGAAATGAAAAGTAGGCTCTGTTTTGTACGAACTGTATTACCAATCGCTTTTGCTGAATGGTATGACAATACACCTACAAACACCAACTGAACCTTCCAGCTAGTGTGGAGGACACATCAGATAAGAAAGACCTGCTCGGTTTTCTGCAAGGCTTATGATCCAACATTCATGGAGAAGTGAGAAGGGGGAATTACCACACCTGCAAAATCACACTGAGCTGTCTTATGATGCAAATATTGTCAAAAGAACTTCAAATAAAAAAAAACTGACTTTGTTTCGCACGAACTTTAAAAACCAACATTTTTGAAGGGAGTAGCATTAATATAACTATATTCAATGCCAATTGAGCCATATTATTACGTAAAAAATTATCGTGAAAGATACTTCAAAATAAAAAAGCTCCGCTTTGTATGAATTTGATGACTAAACGCTTTTGAAGGGAGGAGCACTATTTTTACTACAAAAGCCTACTGAGAATTTCAATTTTATAACTAATTGTTGCCAAATACATTTGACATAAAAACATCATCCTGTGTCACACTGTCACACACAGGACCATGTTCGGAGTATGGCACGCACTATGAAAGCACTCGTGACGAAAAATTCATTCAAGGAGAAACTGAGAAGTACCTACGCTCTCCTGCAGAAGATGAGTGACCTCGTCGACGACGTAAGTTTCCAAATTTACCTACTTATTATATTCCTCACGTGCTCATCTTCCCGTTGCTTCGGATGATTATTTTTAAAGCGGCAGATGTAGAACACAACAGAACATATTTAGTGTTGTATTTCGGTTAGAAATAGAACATCATAGCGAAAAAAAAAAAACAGAATAAGCAGTAAGAAATACGTGGATGTAAAGCCGAACCAAAAGTTTATTTTTGCACCCTGCACAAGAGAATTAAAAAGCCTTAGGTTGTGAAGGAAGAAAAAGAGTGAGTGAGACACCAGGTAAGCGTACATCACACTCGAGCAAAACTAACGCTGACTTAAGCTGCTCGAGCTTCAGTTACTTCGTCTGTACTAAAGTTCGATGACTTATGAGGAGGCACAGATTGGTGGAGAAGGTTCGAGTGCATCGTTAGCACAAGATCATTGTGACAGTCATTATCATCCTCATAGGACAACGATAACGACTTGAACCACTATGGTTAGCGTATTATCAATGTCATGAATCCAAACAAAAAGATGTCGCCGATCAGCATCCATAGATGATAACATTAATGGTAGCATTATTGGTAAGACGGTTAGTGATACCTTTTCGTGTTATAATTGCAAAATAAAAGTCAAATGTGATCATTCTTACTGAAAGATAGAAATTTTAACAATCGTTGTCAAAAAAGCCGAAGAAATAAATAAAAATACCACTTCTGATACACTACAGGCATGCTGGTCGTGGCGTGCTATGCCTATAAGGTAATATAAATTGAACCAACATGGGAAGACTTATGACACAGCTAGCACTTTGATTGATTGATTGATATGTGGGGTTTAACGTCCCAAAGCCACCATATGATTATGAAATACGCCGTAGTGGAAGGCTCCGGAAATTTCGACCGCCTGGGTTTTTTTAACGTGCACCCAAATCTGAGCACATGGGACTACAACATTTCCGCCTCCATCGGAACAGCTAGCTCTTTGATGGAGTGACTTAGCTTAATCACAAGAACCTTAGGGGCGTAGGGTTCTGCATTAGGGGGCCACCAAGCGTTGCCACATTCCCACCCCGCCTTCTTTTAACTGTTCGAGTACGAAAGCTCTGAAATAGATGCAAAAATTCAAATGAAGCAATGGTGTGCTTTTCGCAAAGGCCTGCTTTTATTCTGGAATTTCTAGAGTAAATGTGGAGAGCAAACTATTCTTGGAGTGCTGCATGATCAAACTTTTTGGGGAGGGGGGGGGGGGCAGCGCTACAAAACAGACGGACACAGAGGCAGATAGAAGACTCCACGAGTGCTACATGATAAGCCTGAAAAGCTTCTAGTCAAAAGCCTTCCAGTCTATAACAAAATAAAGAATAGCGGGTGAGGTGCGACCATAGCCTCCTTTATTATATAAAGATATAGGAAACTTACCCCCCTCCCCACCGGCCTCCCGCTAGATGATTTGAGGGGCAATTACCCCTGATTCTTTCCTCCCCCCGTGTGCAGATGCAAGAACTCTTTTTTTTTTGCTAAGAGTTTTTTAAAAGAACAAAAAGTTGGACGACTTTTTACTGATCCATGGAAGTACTTGTGAGTGTAAAAAACCCCAAAATACACAAAAACACACAAACTGCAAGACTTGTTCAGTTCATATTTGTGTATTTTGTGCGTTTTACGCTTTAAAGTACCGTCACAAGTGTTTAACAAACAAGTGCAAATTTAAGGGCCCATTTTCGCTTTGTTAGACATAATACAAGGATTGGTACTTGGAAGTAATTGAACCTACTCTGCTCCCTAAATAGAGGGAAAATGTATAAGAATACACCAGGAGTCGAACAGGGCGAGTGAGAACACTGAATGGGCGGGCAGACAGGGTATTGAACAAAAAATTGTGTATACTTGAAACTGACCTCACTTTTCAAAGCAAGTGGTTGTCACAAAAATAGTTTTAACGTCTTCTCACCTCTTATTTCATTATTACGTCACATGCAGCCTCAACATTCGCTGCCCGACGTTTTTGTGTGGATGATAAGCGGTGGCAAGCGCGTCGCCTACCACCGCATACCTGCGAGGGATCTTATCTACTCCATCATAGATGAAGAGACCGGAAAGTTTTGCGGCAAAGTGCAGACGCTTTTCCTCAAGGTAAGGATGCAAAATTTTCTTTTTTTATTATTGGATTACAACATATATTTGTCGCGAATGAACGTTTCAAGCAACCAAATAAACTACGTTGACCCCTTTTGTATTACGTAACATAGATTGCAAGTGTTGCATAGTTATTGTTAGTTATTCGAAATAACTCCATAAAGGTGTGTAATCAAAAAAGCAGGTGCAACACTTTACGTGATCCTTCATTGGTCCAGTATTTGTTTATATCCTGCAGTTGTTACCTAATGCTAGCTCTGCTATTTAAAGAGTCTGTAGCATCTATTTGGCATACGAAAATGCCTCGAAGGTGCTGCAATGACTTGTAACTGTTTTTATATCCTAACGCTTGTTTTCACTACTGTTTCATATATATTTGCAATCACTGTCCCGTAAGCTATTACATGGTTCAGTTTTAGCTCATAGAATCGTGAGTGGAACAAAAAAAAGTAAGACAAGCATACCAGTATTTTTTATCATGGATTTCGCAAGAGGCAAGGTTATCACTGTACAAATATTTGTTAATTACAAAGTGAGAAAACTGGAAGATTGTGAATATTGGTGATTACACCAGTTATCTCCTTCCACCATTACTATGCTATGAGTCGAAAATAATTGCAAACATTTAAACGTAAGAAAATATAACTGCAGAGTTCCGCAACCAGCCATGTAATGTACTAAAAGCAGTTATATGCAAGTTCTTATTTCGTGCGGAAGGAACTTCCATATCAGTAAGAAACCCTGAAAAGGAAGGCACTTCAATTTCAGTGAAAAACACCGCGAAATAAGTTTTAGGCACATTGTTAAAGAAAGGCTCATATAGCCGGGAACATTATATGAATTTATACAGAGTAGTAGCAGCCTGCATGTATTTATTGCGTTGTTGTGACTTAGCTAGTACGTTATCAGAGCATACTGCCAAAAGCAGCCAACATTGGCTATCAGCTAGGTACTATAACCAATACAATACCACAGACCATAAAAATAGCATAACTATACATTATAACCAATAATACATAACTAATACCATGTGTTAGATTAGCTAGCGGTTGCACTAGGCAAGTAACCAAGCTAAAATTTCTACTTCAAATTGATCAGTCAAGCTAGCATATAATAAGTCCTGATTAAAACTGTATGTGAAGGCCTGTGTGCCCTATATTACACTACTGGACGTATTGTTTGGCCCATTATCGTTCAGTACTTTTTTGCTACCGATCGATAAACGCTTCTAAACTTCAGATTAGTTTGCATATTGAATTGTTTGCATTATAAATTACTTATTATTTCATCTGGTACATAACTGGAAGGAGCTAACGTGTGTATTAAAGTCTGACTTACCTTGTTCTAATTCTATCTAAAACCAATCTTTTCGTTTAGGACAAAGGCATCGGCGACGATTATAGCTATTTCAAGGTATGAGCCCTCACCTAGCTTATCCGGCATCCGCACGCTTTTACAGTGAACCCATGCACTCTGCATACTTCGGCTCTTGCTTGACCCAGCACTTGTAGAAGACAACCTGCACATAGATATGAAAAAAAAATTCCTGCATTGTTATTGCTTTCATATTCTCTGCCTCTTCTCACTTAGCCCGTTCATTTGTACCGCCAATAATGCACTGTTGCACTCTGCGGAAGTCATCAAGTTGTTTCTAAGGCATTTGGATGGTCCATGCACAATGGATGAAGCGCAAGTCAGGGAAGTGACAAGCTGTTCTGGACACCCACGATTCATAGTTCTAAGACGTACGCAAATCCCACGTGCGAAAAATAATCGTAACAAACCAACCGAAAACGTAAAACAAAAAAACAAGGCAGAACATAGTCACCGTTTTAGTCAGTTTAGAATGTTAAATATCGAAGATTTCGTTTCCAAAACAGGGGTTTCTTTTACAAGGTCTACTGCAGGTTTTATGTTATTTCCATGCAAATATGTCTGTGCTTTCTGTTCTGCAGTGTTATGTAGAAGTGTCATTATGCAACATCAGCAGATACGTAGGATGAGTAATGCGGTACTACGTTCCAATAATAACGAGTTATCAATGTGTAATATTGATGTAGACAGTGTCGCTATTTGGACGCTCTATTCTAGTTAGGTTAATTACGATGAGGCTAGGTGGTTAAATCTTTTATGAGTTGATATGCGTGTGCTTTTCTTCCAATTTCAAAAAAATACAGATAAATTTTAAGCAATAAAAGTTGACTCTCTCGAAAAGAGATAGAGATTTTTTTTTGAGGTTCAAGAGTCTTGCATGAGCACATGAATGTCTTTTTTTATTTCTTCTCATATTTTAGTTTCCTGTCTTCACTGCTGTATTATAACATTTCTTGTGTGTATATATTACTTGTGCATGTGAAAGTCACTGTTATAAAAGAACACTTGCTATAAAACTCCGAGTCAATCGGCTACGAGCTCAAGTTATCACTTTTATGTACGCGGCCGCCATTCTTCAAAGTTTGTGCAACTACTTTAGCCTTGCTGCTACTTAGCGTATTGCCAGCCAACTAAAAGCTTTCTGCTTATAGCTTCATGTGCTGCGGCTGTCATATGTGGTATAAATAGTCAAAAAGAATTTTTTTGTTTAATGTTCGTGTGTTCAAATCACAGAGCGCTTTCTGACTTGCGGGAAAATTGCTTTGAAAGCAGTTGGTCTGGAGTACAAGTGCTCAAAGATTATTGTCAAACAGAGGCTAAAACCAATTGCATCTAACGAGCAAATACAGAAGCCAACAAAAAGCAGCGAGGCCTTTCCTCTGTGCACTGCCACTTCATTAACAAAACAACTACCGTCTGTGGTTTCAACATCATGAGAAAGTGCCGGTCCGAAAGAAGACTTACTCTCAATATAACTCCCTCATCCTAAAGTTCCTCGTTTCAACACTCAGTGAGGTGTACCAGCTATAATGACATTTCTTCAATGTCTTGCAAGTAAACAGTTTCACGTCCCTACTTCGTCTAATATCTGAGAAGTGGGGTCGTAGGAGTGAATTTCGACACGTGGTTTTCACATACAACATCACACAATGTAATGGGTATACATACCAAGTAATTTCTCGAAATAGCCGAAATAATACTTGCACTTATGTAAAACGAACACCGCAACTTAAGTGAGGAGACACGAGAACAACAAGGCTCATGTTGTCCACTTTTATTATAATTCACGTTATTCGCCCTGTTTACTCCTAACAGTGAATATCACGTGCTCAATTGGTGAAACTTAGGATATACCTTAATCATACACTGTTGAGTAATGTGAGAGCTGGGGTTATTCAGCATTACACCATGGGAGTAGGTAGCGTAGACACAGAAGACGAGACTGAATGAATGCAAGACAGGCAAGCACCGTGTTCACGTCTTGCTGATTTTATACTACCCTTTGTTTCGGACTCTGCTAAACTTTCTCGGGATAATACGCTTGAAACTCACCTCTACCTACAAATGACTTGGACGTGCATAGAAGGATCACTTTTTTCACCTTTCATTTCCAACGTGTTACCGCCTCTCGTACAATAGTTGAAATACATTACCGCACCCCTTTAATTATGACTTCACAAGGCCACTTTCCTCGCATGTTGCACATAAGTCACGGTAATCTTTCCTCCACAGCAACGTTATCCCCACGCGTGACAAAAAACCCACAGACGCGTTCAATGTGAACATAGATAAATTAATTTACCTACAATATTCTCCGTCTAGCGCGTCGGCAAGAGTGGCTGAGTCGCGTGTTTTCTTCGCCGCTGCCGCACTGCCTGCTTTCAGCCTGGCAAGAAAGTCAGCCAGAGCGCTCGCTGGATGGTTCAAGCCAAGCTGCGCATGCATCTGTGGCTGGGCACGACCAAGCACAAGCACTGTGTACTGAAGGGGTTGCCCGAGGGCTACGTCAAGGACGTCGACGACATTGACAGGGGACCGCCATCGCAACTTCATTACACGGGTCAGTGCCCGCCGCTTCTTCGTTGAACACCACCCAAAAACACTTTGCGTCCCGTTGTGAGTATTTCGGTGCAGCAGTGGTGAAAGTTTTGTTTTTACGGCGTGGGAAAATTGTACAAAATTTCACTATACAGCATCGTGAAATTTCGTCAAATACGACACGACTCAATTCCCAAGACCTCCTTTCATTTACAAAATACTACTTCGTTTTGCCATATCTTCTTATATATTTTTATTACCGGTTCATTCAATCTTATATTTTCGAAGCAATATATTAAGCCATACATTACAAGTTTAGAGCAAATCATTCTTTGCCCTAAAGGCTTCATGATAAAAAATTCCAGCCCACATATTAAGCTTCTCCAACTCAAAAACGGTATGAAATATGAAAGACGCCTAAATTGAAAGCGCAGAAATAATTTTTACCTAATTATGCTATATAACGCGCGCACATTTTGTATGTTTAGTAAGTATTGCAAAATCACAAATTTGATATCGAATGCACGAAGTCCATCTTAGCAGCGTACTTGTGCAATGCCAACTGAGTAATATCGATGAGTATAGACCCCAAATAAATACGGCTGCACAATATTGGGCCAACGGATAGTGACTATGTTTGTTTTACATAGTTCATTTAGGGTGTAAGATTAAGGAGAGTTGAAAGAGTACGGCATGCAAGAAAACGTTTTATGTAACCAGCTGTTGTTGCCTGGTAAAACCATATGTATGCGCTTCTTATGAATACCTCCTTAATTTGTAGTGGTGCTGTTGGCGCGAACTTGTACAGTCAAGCTGTTTACAACAGACCCACGAGGAGGTAACAGTCACGGACGGCTTTGCGAAAATCGTGGGAACACGTCCCTTTGCCCTTTCGAATCAACCACAAGGGCCCCCATAGATATTACAGTGCTGCACAAAATAACAGCTCTCATCTCTATTTACCATGCTTGGAATACGGGAAAACTCTCACTGTGCAATTGGTTTCTGCACACTTTGCTGCGGTGTTCAGTGGCCCCTTGATTGCACTGACTCTTTACGCACCAGCGGTTTTTGGTGGTCCAAGTGGGATATGCCTCGATAAAGAAAGTAAGATAGCGCGTGCACAAAGCTATACATACCCGGGACAGCAGGGCCTAAAGAACGTACAGGGTGGCTTAGTTGGTTTGTTTTTTCAGCAAGTTTTCGTTGTTCGATAAGCGTCCAATTACTTGCGTAGTGGGCGTTCTTTCAAATGCTTCTAGAGATATTCCAAAGGGAGCCATTGAGTGTGTTTGAAGGGCAGCGCGCATTCTTAATAAGTACGACAAAGATGATTATTTAAGCTTGAGCGCCATTGTTCAGATGTGTCTAACTATCACCCCTTCAAGCCTAACTAATTATCCGAGCAGTGAATTTGGAGCAGTGAACTTGTAGAAACTTGTGGTTTAGATCATAAGTAGGCCGCAAGTAATTGGTGTAGATAAAACGTCTCCCAGAGTATATTGACAACAATGCTGAAAGCGTTATGAAATTGTTACTTTTGCTGAAATAACACTAAATAGAGGCGTTTTCATCAATTTACAGTGATGGCTTCACGTTTACGCGGGCTAAACACTACAGATATAAAGGAATAAAAGGCACACTTTTGTGTTTCCTTAATGAACCATTATCCAACAGTTATTGCTGCAAAATAATTTACTAATTTATGGTGTCCCAAGGTACAATACACACGCACTGGTTAGTCGTGCAAGCATTGATCTAAACGCCAGCTCTTTGAAAGGCCCCATGAAGTGTTTTGATTGTTTCGCGACGTTAAACATTTGATGCGTTTGGGCATAACACCTCGGCAAGTGAAAAAGGTTTGATGTGCGAGTCAAATTTACGTATTTACCGTGTATTATTTTCTATGTGTACTGCTTGTGCTGCGTTATCGACTGCAGAAGTAAATCTGATTGCGACACGTCGCCATGGTTTGCTAACGTTCCGACGATGACGAAATTCCCGATGAAGGAGCAGCGGTGTAAATGCGATAAGCACGCAACGACTGATTGTTTCGTGGAAATTTCGTTTCCAATTTCTCCTCGCCACAGAAAAGTCAACCTTCGAGCTGCGGGCGCACATGTACCAGGCACGGTCCCTCATCGGATCGGACTCTTCCGGACTCTCCGATCCTTTTGCGAGAGTGGTATTCGGGGACCAGAGTCAGACAACCATGGTAAGTTCTCTTTTCCACTCACTATTTCACTATTTTTTCTTTTGTTGTTTTTATTCAGCAACCACCGGCATCTCCACTCTCCTGACATTGTTGGTTGAGTGATTAACACCAAAGCATGATCTCAATAACTGCCACTGAGCATAAAATAGTAAGCGACTCAATCACTTGCAGGAATGCAACGAAAACAAAAAAAATTAAGTTTTCTTTTTCGACTTTTCACGTGAACCATTATTGCGGTTGGCCTTTGCATTGCGGTCGGCCTTTGGGGGGCATCCAGATGGTGAAGATAAAAACGATTCCCAATTATTGTAAGATATGGAGCCGCAGATATGCGAGTGCATCCCTAATATTTCAATTATACTAATTATACACAACAGTGTACAGCAGACTACTTAATTTGTTGCATAGTAGCGCACGTTTTTTTTTTGTCTATCAAAACAAAAAAAGATGTGAGTATCTCTTTGTGTTTTCTGCACATACCTCGCTGTTTATGCTCATGACTTCAACTGCGACTTTTCTGAATACCCAACGCGTGTATTTACAGTACGTTTGGTCAACGCTGCTGATCGGCCGTCATTCTCAAAGTGCGTGTCAAGAATGTGGTTGCTCTAATATTTAAAGCTGGTATTGAAACTAAATGCACCTATATCCTATGGACAAACATAGAGAAGACGAAGGTTAATATTACAGCAGCCTTAAATATTGACTTGTGGCCTGTTTTAAAACGCGCTAATAATATGAAGTGTGAAGTTTGACAAACTGATCTCACAAATTGTCGTAAAACTGTTCTCTCGGATTCAGTTGTCTCTGAACTGCTCAAGCCGACCGTACAATTGTATAGGATGCTTCTCATTAAACACGCTAAAGTATGTTCAATTAGGTTTTAAAGAAGGTTTAATGAGAAGTCAATAATTATTCTAAAGGGTGTTTGATGACATCCCATCCTTGTGCCAGACAAGGCTCGGGTGCTGTTGACAACGCTGGTGCTTATAATAAACGCTATGTCTTCTTCCAACAGGTGATCGACGAGACACTGAGCCCCACGTGGGACGAGATGCTGCTCTTTCCCAGTGTCACCGTGTACGGCAGAAAAGAGGACATCAAGGAGGACCCTCCCGTCGTTGTCATCGAGATCTTCGACCAGGACAAAGTGGTCAGTCACTCACCAAAGTTGGCCATATAAAACCTCTGTCATAGAGCTACTTATTTAGATTTCGCATGTAATGGTCACGAGATGTCAGCTTTAAAAAAAGCATCGCCAAACTTTGTTGTGGTTCAAAGAGTCAATCGATAATCACGCTCTTCCACCGCATTCACTTTACGTGCCCCCTGAAATGGTCGCAGGGAAAGTCTGAATTCATCGGTAGGACGATAGCCAGACCTCACGTAAAGTTCGAGGACGACGTCAACTGCCAGCCGCCATCGCTCGAGTGGCACGACCTGTACCGAGGAACCGAGCCCGCGGGAGAACTGCTCGCCACTTTCGAGCTGCTCAGGGTGAGTACTGTGTCATAAGAGGAAGCCTGTTTCACATCACGAGCTTAGGCAGCATTTTAGGGTGAATACCCGTAAATTGGCTCATTCATCTGCTGTTTTAAAACTCAGACCCCAGCACTTAAGTCCCGATTTTGCAAGAGCCCACTATGTTGAAATAAGTAAAGCGTTGCCTTCATTTTGCCTTCATTGCCTTCGTCCATCTATAAGTGAAATCCATTTCACATGGGGACCTTCTTAATCTGTTCACTGACGTAGGAGTGATGATTTCTTTCTAGCATGTTCTCATAAGTGAGCTCAAAGCTTTCCTCATCTTATCTCCTCTCTCATGTCAACATGAAGGCTATTTTGTATTTCTATAGCTAAGGCCACAATGCTTCATGAGGCGTACATCATCCTGGCAGCTCCATTTCTTGCATTCGATCACACTGAGGATCGAAATAAAGTATCTGTTTCTCCCATATTGGTACTGCATGTACTGCAGATGAATATTCAGTTTTCCATCTCGGTATTGGCCAAATAGGTGTATGATTTTTATGCAAAACACCCCAAGAAAATTGTCATTAGTAAGCCGACATCTCTACCTTAACCACTAGGCCAACCTGAAAACCCGGCCACCTTCTTTCTTTTTCTTTTTTTCTTTGCAAACCGAAACATTCGATGCATCGTTCGTTCGTTATTATTTACAGTTCTCGCCTCAAGAAGAGAAGTGTGACATGCCTGAACTTCCGATGCCAAAAGAGAATGTGTTCCGATCCGTGGAACGGGGTCCCGTATACCCTGTGCCGAAAGGAATACGCCCGACTTTGTCCACATACAGAATAGAGGTACGTGGTCCGTAAGCGTACGTAAGTAAGCTTATAACGTATTAAAACACATATGTAGACCTTTGTACTCGATTCCACTCAATATATACTCAAGGCAAGAAAAGATGACAGGTAAGCGAGAGAGAAAAAAATACACCCTTTCCCGCTAGTGTGAATCACGAGTAGCACGCAAAGTAGCGCATGGGCCCAAGTTTCGTTCATTACGGGCCACGTTCACCACGAAATCACTATAATTTCTGTTGCTGTTACTTGTCCTGAACTCTTATTGGAGCACGCCACGTGGTTTCATCGCTATGCCCCGTGGGAGCCCGTGGGTCTGCAGATCTCGTTCCTGACGCCATCGAGTGTAAGGGGGAATTGCCATGGACTCTTACACAGCCACCTTCAAAGTGCCGAATGCCACCCCGTACTGACAAGGGTTCATTGCGCATCTGAAGAATCTCGTTCCCCGACGCCATCACGTAATTGCTGAGAGAGTGCTCGGGGAGTGGCCACAACGTCTTACCCGGCTCCTTAATGGCCGCGAGGGCCTCCACTAGAGAGAGGCCAGCGGTGCGATTGTTTTGAGGTCACAGATAGGATACGTAGGTGTGGAATACGGCATATTTGCTTTTGCGACACCACTTGCGTCGTCCCCCACGGCTGCACCGGTTTTTAGTCGCAATTTTACGATGCAAGCTAGACACGAGATTGCCACCAGGGACACGGCTTCGTAGTTTGCTTGCCCGTACTCTTACTGCTTCTTACACCACTAAGCTTCAAAAAAAAAAAAAAAGAAGACCCACGGTGTCAACTGCAAAAGCGCAGGAAATGTGGTGTTCTATCAGACAAAGTCAATCCGGAACTATGGGGGACGTCATCGCGTACGTGGCACCAAGGTATGTCCTCGGGGCCGATACAGCCCAGTGTTCTGGCAGTGCTTGGGACGGCTGTTGCGCACGCGCAGTAATGGTGGCCACGCTCACCAGATTGCACTCGAACATAAGCTGCTTCGCATCTAAAAGGTGGCGGAGGAGAAACTGGTGTATAATGCAAGACTGTGCCGTAAACATGTCCGGCTCACAGAGTAAACGGGGACCACATTTATACAGGGGCCTCCTGTCGTGGTTGGTGAGCAGTCACCTGCTGCAAGTCCTGGACAAGCGACTTTTGTGGGCACTGTTTCGCTAATATTCTCTCCACTACCCCCAGTACTATTTATAAGGCGTCATATGTAAGCACAGCTCGAGTTCAATACACTGTGCCACCGCAGTGCTATGGTAGCTAAGTCACTCGGCTGCTGACCCGCAGGTCGCGGGATAGAGTCCCGGCTGCGGCGGCTGCATTTTCGATGGAGGCGGAAATGTTGTAGGCCCGTGTGCTCAGATTTGGGTGCACGTTAAATAACCCCAGGTGGTCGAAATTTCCGGAGACCTCCACTACGGCGTCTCTCGTAATCATAAGGTGGTTTCGGGACGTCAAACCCCACATATATTGAGTTTAATACAACTTTTTTGAAGTGTTTTAAAATTAAAGAAACTTTCGTTCGGCAGCGAGATGAGGTTTGCAAACGTTTTTCGAAATTTTATGCAAACCTTGACCATAATACAGCAACTATCTACCATTCTAAACGGGCGGCAAATTAGAGGTTCTGTAAATTGGTGGACTTGCGGTGTCAATGCTAGAGCTGAAGGTACAAACTCTCAAGGCTGGTGATTACCGACGACTAGCAGCGGTCGCGCGACCATTCGCTACTGTCGACCAAAAAGCGACTGATGTTCACACCGGCAGAGGCTGCATGCGAGCGATTGAAAGTCGCAAAACCGGAGAGTCGCGTCCGGATCACGTTATCAGCGAGAACTCTGGAGACCGGCGCCGATCAGCTGATCGCCGCCAGCTGAGTGAGCGGAGAAAACTGAGCGCGCCGTACTTATTGTTTTCATCCGCTCTCGCACAGCATTCCCAACAGCGTCAAGTTCGATTCAAGCGAAGAACAAGACATTGTCATGGTGCTGGTGCGCTCTGCCAAGGTGTCAGCGCTGGCATCACAGATGCTTCCAAAGAAAAAAAAAAGCCGGTGGTGGGTGTTACCGTCCTTTCGATCGCGGGAGTTGACCGGCCAAGCAAGCTGCCTGCCTCCCGAGCTGCGCTGAGACAACGAGGAGTATTTCTGAGAGTCGTACGTATTCGGAAACGGTCCTTGAATTTAAAGAAGTCGTGAAAAGGTAGCTCTAAAGCGACAATGCGAAGCCACCGGGGTTCACACGCACTAACTAGGTGACGTCATCATAAGTAATGCTTTGCATATCGAGGAACGCGGAACTCTTCAGTACTTGCGAGTGCGTGCAACTGAGACACTCATCAGCGTCTTTTCGGTGCTCACTTGAATTGTGACGTCATATTAAGCAGCCTCCTTGTGGGACGCGGATCGCGTATGGCAGACGCCGATGAGCGCCTCTTGCGCGTGCCCGATATGCCATAGAGTTCCACGTTTCTCGATAGGCATCTGAGCGTCTATGCAGGTCCACTCGGGCTGATTATACGGTTAGCGCATGTGGCTGCCGATGGTGCCGCATTGTCATTGTAAAGCGACTGTATCACGACCCCTTTAACTTGACTTGCAGCAGCCTACGATGCAGCACAAACGAGTCTCGAACGCGGTGTCTTAAGTCGTTGTCAAGGCATGAAGCACAAACGCGTTCCAAACGCGTTCCAAACGCGCTGAATTGAACGCGGTGACAAGTCAAGTTCAAGAAAATAAAAACTTCCAAGCATTTCCCCGAGGGTGAACATGGTTAAGTGCGAATACACGGGGTGATGCTATGAGGGGTAGTTATTAATTCGCACTATTATATTTATTAATCACACTATGGTGCCTTTATGGTGTAATGGTTCCTATGAATCGCAATTTGATCACACGGGGGAGTTTACGTTAACTCACTGGCGAATGCCAACGGATTTTAACTTTACTCCCCCTCACGACCCGCTCTAGACGGGAGACTGAGAGAGAAGGCGGGCGCGCGAGAGAGAGGGGTGCACGCGCAGCTGCAGCGAGCGAGGAGAGCGGAGGAGCGAGCGAAGGGGGAGGGGCTATAAGGCGCGTTACTGACACCGATATCAGCGTCGCGTCCGTGGCTTATTCGGTAGAGCGTCGCGCTGCGGCCCGCCAAGTCCTCTTTCTTTTAAAGATAGAGAGAAGACTGCGGACGCCGCCGACGGCGGTGGATGGTTTGGGGTCGCTTATAAAGTGTATTCAAACTTAAAAGTGTATTCACACTTAAAAAAATGGCAGCATATCCACGGATTGAATGATGGAGAGTGGGGCGAAGCATTCGTCCGTCCATTCGTTCTTGCTTCCGTCCGTCCATGCGTCCGTCTGTGTGACCGTCCATGCGTCCATCCACCCGTCCGTGCGTGCGTCTGTTCGTGCATCCGTCCCTGCATTCGTCCATGCATCCGCCCCTGCGTCTGTTCATGCGTCCATCCATGCATCTGTCTGTGTGTCCGTTCTTCCATCTATTCAACACTCCAAGTACCACCATCTCGCATCTTTTCATCATATATTCCCCATATAGAAGCACCGCCATCCAGCGGACATTCCAAGGACTAAACGAGAGGTGGCACACGCACACTTTCCTATGGCTTACGCTTTGGGTCTACTTCCCACCTTTTACCACCTCGAGTTCATTCATGGTATATACTAGTTCATTGTATTCATGGCACTGCGGCTCAGCGCTCGCTAAACCTTTCCAAAACTAAGGAGGTTACACCCAGCGAGTATAACGTAGCAACCCTTTCTTGTCAGATCGTGCTCAGTGTACAAGCCAATGGCTGCTAATGGGGATCGCAGCGTGCGCGTTAACTAAAAGCCGAATGCTGCTGTCTCTCATTCCCCAATTGCAGCCATTGGCGTGTACATTGAGCATTATCTTTTATTGTTCAACAACGCACAGAAGAAATCTCTCACCGGCACCACCTTAGAGGTCAGAATGTTATATTCGTTACATACTACAACGGCTACGAGGGACGAACGAGAGTTGCTATAGGAGCTTCGCCCCTAAAAAATGTTTCTGAATACGAGGAAAAGGTAGTGAACAATTTATTTTCTCTTTACTTTGACGCTGTTCAGCTTCTTGCGAATGCCACCACGTAAATTTGACACTTTGCTCGAGCTGCTGCGCCCCGCCATCTCCAAGCCAAGTATTCCGTGGCAGACATGGTGCCACAGACTCAGAGGAACACACTCGTTTGTATCTGGCGGCAGGAAGCCAGCGCAATGAAAAAACTGAAAAACGAAAATTGAGCATCGCTGATTGGTTCCAGCAGTTTTGCGACTGCTGTCGCGCGACTGAAAACTCGGTCAGGAGGCGTCTAGCCAAAGAAGTCGCTTTGCGACCGTTTGCGACCGTTCGCGACTGTTTGCGACCATTTGCGACTGGTCGCGCGACCGCTGCTAGTCGCAGGTGTGCACCAGTCTTGAATGTCGCGAGACACGCCTGACGCCCACGGAACGGCTTTACGCTCTGCCCCAGTAGAGTTCTAAGTAATATAAATCGTTAACTTCCTTTTCTAAACACAGTAGACTGCGTAGGTTCACCTAATCGCCGTATTCAGAAACACTCCGGGACTTGTCTTGCCACCGCCTTCACGACACGTTTAGAACGCGCAATCTTTAGGACGTGCCGAGGCAGCACAATAGCGTTGGAAACGCACTGCATTGAAGCTGGTGGCAACTCAAGTTCAAGCCAAGGAGCATTTTGAATGCAGAACATTTTTTAGCCGCATGATGTCACGCTTCGTGAGTCAGCGTTCTCCACACCCCCACTGCGCATGCTCGCGCCTTGCGTTTGGTGCCGCACGCTTGCATCTCGTGCCAACTGTTTGCTCACCATCACTCGCCTTGCAAGCCCGATGCAAGCAGCGTCTGCTAGTTAAAACCCTAGTGCTAGAGCTGGACCATCTTTCACTGTATTGATCATCCAGCGTCCCACAACTTGTTGAAGACAACACTTCTCCTAAAC